ACCTTTCCAGATCTGTCATGTTTCCACAGCTTTCCAGAGTCCAGGCACCCCTACCCTCATGTGAGTAAAAGTCAACTGTGCCAGATGCGGGGGGGAAAGTCAGACTCACAGCATGCCTTCTCTGCCCAGCTGGGGAGTTCACCTGCTCCGGCCATTTGGTGCCTGAATAACCCTGAGACTTTACAGCATTGGCGAGATGGGCACTGGGCATCATGGTCAGCTGGGAATGTAGTCTGGTCTCCAGATCTTAAGGTGGCATTTTTTTTAAAAAAGATTTTATTTATTTGACAGAGAGATCACAAGTAGGCAGAGAGGCAGACAGAGAGAGAGAGAGGGAAGCAGGCCCCCTGCCGAGCAGAGAGCCTGATGCGGGACTCGATCCCAGGACTCTGGGATCATGACCTGAGTCGAAGGCAGAGGCTTAACCCACCGAGCCACCCAGGCGCCCCTTAAGGTTGCATTTTTGCCACAGACTCATGACTGGCAAAAAGATCTACTGGCAGTAGCTACCGCTTCCTTACTTATCACAGCCCATAAGTCTCTGCCAACTTCTACTAGAAACTTCCATTCTTCATCTCCATAAACTATATTGGCCTTCTTCCTATCTTTGGGAATAGCGTTCTGTCCCCTCCTCATCACACGGCCAACGACCTGTCATTCACAATTGTGCCCAAACGTCACCTCCTGGGAGAGGCCTTCCCTGGCCAGTCACTTGAAGAAGTGCCCTGCCCTTTGCTGCACACACCATGTCACCTCATTTTCTCTCTGGCACTTACCACTCCGAAATGATCTTCCTTATTCATTTATTCCTGAGTTCTGTGTCAGCCCCAAGAGGGCAGGGAACCTGGTTCTTTCTGCTCACTGCTGGGAATAGTGCTTGACCCACAGTAGGGGCTCACTGCTTCGTTAGTTGAAAGAGTGGACGCTAAGCCCAGAGCAGAGAACCCCACAAGAACCTCACTTCACGGTAAAGACTGGGGGTCTCAGGTTTGGGGCATGGCCTCTCAAGTCACACAGCTGGGCTGTGGTGGAGCTTGTCCCTGGGACCCATGGGTCTTGAGTCCTCTCCTGGTAGCTCAGAGAAAGCTCCCTTTTCCTCTGCCTGATAATAGCCATTGGTAGCTGGCTTCAGAGCAATGTTTGGGGGCACAGGCTCTGAGGACAGACAGACCTGGCCCTGCCCCTGCCCAGCACTGCACCCTTGCGGTAGTCCTGTCACCCCTTTGAGCCCCTGGGTCCCCACCTGAAACACGGGGAGAGTATATACCTATCCCACAGCAGGGCCATTATGCATGTGTAATGACTGACCACATAGTACGTGTTCAGGAAGTAGAAGCTGTCATTTGCCAGAAAGTTCCTTCGAGGCCTCTGAAGTCACCAGGTACTCAATGAAGCCAGAGGTGTTTGTTTTGCACACACCCAGAGTGGGAGGACTTCTGTAGTTCAGAGGTCCCAATGCCAAGTGTGGGACTGTGGATCTACAGGGTAAGCATCCACTGCGTGCCAGGGGCCAAACCACTTCTGTCCCCTGGGGAACTCAAGTGCCTTCAAGTGAGTCCAGATGGCGTTCTCTCATCTGGCAAGTCTGGAGGTTCGAGTACTGGTGTTGATTCTCCAATGCAGGGCAGATGGGGGTCATGTCGGTGGAAGGGAGCCCACAGTGAGGTCAGGCTAAGCTCAGCCTGTCCCACAGACGATAGCACCCAACACCTGGCCTCCTCAGAAACCCTCAGTGGCTCTTCACTGCCTGGGATACAAAGGCCTTTCCAGTCACGTTTCCCACCACACGGCCCTCCCCTGTCCATGTGTCCTGCTGCACAACACCCCTAGTCTCTGGTTATTTCACAAATACCTCCTGAGTGTCAGCCAAACGCGAGGGGTCCCGTGGTGATGGAGACAGCGGCATCCCCGCCCTCTTGGAGTTGAGCAGTTACAACAGCCAACGGCCTTCGACGTGCCCACCCTGTGCCGAGAGCCTGCCACGCGCCATCTCATTGAGTCCATACCCAGCGCGAGGAGGCAGGAACCATGATGACTATTCCCATTCTGTAATGAGGACACTGAGGGGGCACCTGGCTGGCTCAGTCTGTAGAGCATGGGACTCTTGGTCTTGGGGTTGTGAGTTCAAACCCCACACCAGGTGTAGAGATTGCTTAAAAATAAAATCTTTTTTTTTTTTTAAGATTTTATTTATTTATTTGACAGAGATCACAAGCAGAGAGGCAGGCAGAGAGAGAGAAGGAAGCAGGCTCCCTGCTGAGCAGAGATCCTGTTGCGGGGCTCGATACCAGGACCCTGGGATCATGACCTGAGCCGAAGGCAGAGGCTTTAACCCACTGAGCCACCCAGGTGCCCCCCCCTTTTTTTTTAAAGATTTTATTTATTTACTTGACAGACAGAGATCAGAAGCAGGCAGAGAGGCAGGCAGAGAGACAGGAGGAAGCAAGCTCCCTGCTGAGCAGAGAGCCCGATGCGGGGCTCGATCCCAGGATCCTGGGATCATGACCTGAGCCAAAGGCAGAGGCTTAAACCCACTGAGCCACCCAGGCGCCCCTAAAAATAAAATCTTTAAAAAAAAAATGAGGACACCGAGCCTCCATGAGGAGAGGTGATTTGCCCAGTGCCTCAGGTGCACCTAGGAGTGAAACCCAGATGTACCTGACTGGGAAGGCAAAGAAGACAAGTCATGATAGTTTGCGGTGGGTGTTGACAGAAGTACGGTGGGCACTTGCTGAAGGGCGACCTATTTAGTGATCTAACCTCCACTTGCCTCTCTCTGCATCCATCTAGATTGTAAGCAATTTGAAGACAGACTGTTCTGTTACTTCTGTGTCACATCCTCCCCTCAGGCCAGGTCCAGGAGCTGGGTGGAGTCTTTGGCCTCACCATTGTGACCAGCCTGGGTGGAGGAGAGCAGCAGGGCTGCGCACCAGCACCATCTTCCATCTCCTTTGCCCACAGTACATGTGACCTCAGCAGACAATGTGGAAATGATCATGTTTGTTATATCCATGGATCCTGGCCTGGATCAAGTCAGAGCCTCAAGCCTGTCATTCATTCAACAAATATTTATCAAGCTAAGCCCTGTGGACATAATCAGAGATAATCTTCATGTCTAGATTTTGAATGTGCTTTGTGGTCAGTATGCTTGTAAACTACAATAGTAAATAAAATGTCACATGCTAACTCGAACTCTGTAAGGTTTGAGCACTCTTAGTATGTCCTAATTTTCATACGTAAGAAGCAGAGACTGAACTTTCAGCTGAGAAGCTGTTCCGTATCTGTTGGACGCCAACGCAGAAGCCCATCACCACTGCACCACACTGCCTCTTGAATGTAATAGCGATGGGGTGGGGCAGAGCTTTAATTTACCTGGGTTCCCCAAACGGATGCACTCTATACTCTGAAAAGAATAAATCCAAGTACTTCTCAGACCAAAATTTCATTTTTCATTCCTATGAGGAGATCCTGAAAACTGCCCTTCCCCCTTTTACAGACTTCTTCCCGGATTAAGGAATTAGAGGATGTATTTAAGGATAAGTGGGGAGGGGCACCTGGGTGGCTCAGTGGGTTAAGCTTCTGTCTTCGGCTCAGGTCATGATCTCAGGGTCCCGGGATTGGGCCCCACTTCCAGTTCTCTGCTCAACAGGGAGCCTGCTATCCCCCACAACTCCCTATCCCCCCATCTGCCTCTCTGCCTACTTGTAATCTCTCTGCCAAATAAATAAATAAAATCTTTAAAAAAAAAAAAGGGTAAGTGGTGGGGCGCCTGGGTGGCTCAGTAAGTTGAGCGATGGACTCTTGATTTCCGCTCAGGTCATGAACTCAGGATTGTGAGCTCAAGCCCCATATTGGGCTCCAGGATCAGTGTGGAGTGTCGGCTTGCCCCTCTCCCTCTTCTCCTTCCCCACTCGCATACTCTCTCTTAAACAAACAAATAAAATATTTAAAAAAATAAAATAAAAGGATAAGTGGAAATTGTGCATGCCCAACATGTTTGATTATCAAGGAACCAAGTTTTCAGAGGCCCATAGCCACACAGCACTGGGCTTGGCCAATGTCCCGGGGCTTGGCAGGTGGGATGGCAAATCCAGTCCTAGGCTTGGAAGTTAGCTGATTTCCGGGCAAGGTCCAGAACGATCAGATGCCGATTAGGTACAAGTCTACAGATCCGTACCCTTTGTACCACCAGGTGCAACTGCCTGCTTGCAAGATACCAAGGATGGGAAAGAATGCTGAGGTAATAGCTCTGACGTCCTGTTTATTGCTGTCGCAGATACAGAGGTCCCCGCCTCAAGTCTGCACATCTTCTGAATCATGTGAAGGTACTGGAGTCCCTAAAATATCCACATGAGAGTGAGCGAGGAGCTATCAAAATTCGACTCTGGTGGGACTCGAACCCACAACCTTTGAATCACCACACCAGGATCGGCTAGAAGTCCAATGCGCTATCCATTGCGCCACAGAGCCACCTACTTAAGCTTCTCTCAGCTCACCTCTCTGCCTACACCGCCCTTTTAGCGTTCTTTTGGTGTGGCGTCGGCCTTGGTGGAACCCTGCCCATCTCTGCGCGCAGACTCCGGATTCTCCGCCCACGCTGCGGGTGGGGGTGCTCCTCACAACCCGCCAACGCCAGGGGCTTGCCGGCTCTGGGACCAGACCCAGCCCGCCCGTCTCCTTCCCTCCCGGGGGTCTCCGCGGCGGGGCGGGGCTGCGCGGCGCGGCGCGGACTACAACTCCCAGCGTACCGCGCGGGGCGCCGCCCGGGGCCGTCGCGCGCGCAGGGCGGGCTGGGCCGGGCTGGGCCGGGCGGCGTCGGGCACGTTGGGGCTGCGCGGCGCCGAGGTCTCTGCGGCTGACGGGCCGCGGGGAAGACGCGGGAGGCGGTGCTGCGGGCCGGCGCAGCCGGTTTGGGTTGCAGGAGGCGGGCGGGGGAGGAGCGCCGCGGACGGGCGGGGCCGGGCTGCGGGCGGGGCTGGCTGGGCGGCGGGGCCATGCAGGGCGCAGAGCCGGTGGAGCTCTGCTGAGACCCGGCTCTGCGCGCCCAGGGGCGGCTCATGCCCCCTGCGCTACCCACTACGCTGCCGCAGCCAGGCCGCATCTGGACGGGGCGCCGCGCGGCGGGGCCGACTCCGGGTGAGCATAGGCCAAGTCGGTGGGTCCCGGGCGGGGAATGTGCCCGGCTGAGGCGTGGGGAGGTGGTGGGGCCGGCTGGGGTGAGGGGGGCGCTCTGCTGCTCTGTCTCCTTGCCTGGTGCTATGCTGCCCTGGCTGCTTAGGGGCGAGGGCGGTTCGCAGTGACACGGGACGGGGGCCCGAGGGATGTCGGCATCCCCTTCCCTTCTCCTCCCATCCCCCAGCCTTCCGGGACGGGTTCCTGTTCTCTGCCCTGGCCGGCTTTGGGAGCCCAGAGGTCTGAAGACCTTAGAGACCTTGGCATTGGATACGGGAGCGCTGGTTTGGTCCTCCTCCCGGCTTTTGCTTTTTGTGTGAAGTGGGGAGATGGTCTGTTAAGGACTCCCTGGGGTCCAGACCATGTCTTCATCCTGGCTTGGAGACCGTGAGGCTACATCATAGTCATGACCTTCAGCTCCTCCTCAGGAATAGGAGAACTCGGAGAGAAAACAGTCCCATCTGCTGGCACTTGAGCCAGTCCCTAAAGCGCCAGGAGTAGAGACCAAGAGTCCTAATGTCAGTCCAGTCAGCCGTTCCCCTTCCTCTTTAGCCCAATCCCCAAAGAGTCATCGGAGTGGCTTCCCGAGTGTGTTTGCAGGGGGTGACTTCAGGGCCCTCCAGTGCTCCCTCAAACACCTTTCCCTTCTAGACAGTCACCTCTCAGGCACCTCCAGGCTCTAACCCATTTACTCTGTCGCCCTCTGTGGGCCAGTAGAGGCATGACACTGTCTGAGTTTGTGAGCTGGGTGGGAGCCAGGCCCCTTCCCAGAGAGCTGCCCCTTTGGGTATTGTGGCTTGCTCTGTTCATCCAAAGACCCAAGGAGGTTCTTTGGATTAGGAATCAAGCCAGAGACGCTTAAGTTAATACCCCCCTCTCTCCAAGCCATTTTGGTTAGAGATCCTGGATGTTAGGAGAGTGGACTGTCCTGTTTTGGCTGGAAGGGCTTCCGAGAGCAATTCTCACTATACCCATAACGTAGAGGGAGAGGCTAAGGCCTAACGTAGGAGAGAACTAACTTATCCAAGGTCACAGGGACAGTTGTAGAAGGAGATGGGACTAAGGAGCTACAACTCAGCCTCTGCCTCTTAGCCGTGGAACTCCTCTTCTCAAGTCCCATGCCTCTAGCCTGTCTCTTCAAGACAGCCCTGGAAGGGGTCCCCATCCTCAGCTACCTACTTGTATGACTAAGCTTCACTACAGGTTGACCCTTAGGATCATAGTGGCTGCCTGGACCTGGAGGTAGGGGACATAGACATTTGGCTCCACTGACTATTCTGTGCCCACAGGCCACAATGCTGCTCGGGGCATCTGTGGTGGGGTTGCTGCTGTTCTCCAGGCTGGTACTGAAACTGCCTTGGACCCAAGTGGGGTTCTCCCTGCTGTTCCTCTACCTGGGGTCTGGAGGTTGGCGCTTTGTCCGAATCTTCGTCAAGACCATCAGGCGTGATATCTTGTGAGTATCTGGTCCAGTCCATCCAACCCTGGATTCTCCTATAACACGATGGGCTCCTAATTCCCAAAGTCTCTACAGACCACGTCTCTGTGAGCACAGGCCCCCTGGGCCCCAGAGGAGCAGCCTCTGCTTTACCCCCTTCCCCAGGCACTGGTACCTGCTATCTACATTGCCAAGGTGAAAGTCTTCTCCTAGAAGATCTCCCTAACTTGGTGCCATTTAGCCTAGGGCAGACTTAGGGGCCCAGGACGTACACTGAACACCAGGTGTGTCAAGACATCTGCAAAGGGTCCTAAGGCTAAGCAGTAGCTTGTGAGAAAATGAAGAGGAACCCCGTGGGAAGGTCTGTGTCCATAAGTCTGAGAGGGCACAGGGTTCAGAGCAGGGCCCCATATCAGATGTCTGGGGAAACCTGTTCCCCAGAGAAAGTCAGGTACTGTCCAAGGGCTCTCCTGTACCAGAAACACCTGCTGCTACCTGTTGTGTGACAGGCATTAGGCTGGCTCTGGGACTCAGGAAGGGGAAGGCCGACCTAGTCTTGGGCCCAGCTCAGACTGGTCAGGGAGATAAGGAGATCCAGTAAATCCCTAAACTAACAGTACTGTGTGGGCAGAGACCCTGGCAGCCTTGCTCGCAGTGGTGTCCTAGTGCTCAGCACAGTGACCCGAACTCAGAACAGGCAGCTCAGCACCTGTCATCTGAATTAATTGTAAAAGGAAGTACTGAGTGGCCACTGCCCGAAGGGTGCTAGCAGAGAGCTGTGGGACTGTAGGGCAGGGAGAGATGGCTTCAGGCCAGGGCCTTGGGGAATCAGAGAAGGCTGCCTGGAGACAAAAAGCTGTAGTTGAGCGGCATCTCCAGGTGATGGGAGCTGGGGATTCCAGCCAGAGGGTAAGCATCTGAATAGGCAGAGAAGTCAGGGAACTGGAAGCTTTCAAAGGTCAGAGGAGGCAGAGGCAGGGCAGGAAAGGGGGATATTGCCAAGTGGTTCTTTTTTTTTTTTTTAATTACTTATTTGTTTATATTTAAATTTAAATTCAATTAATTAACATAATGTATTACTTATTTCAGCAGTATAGGTCTGTGACTTATCAGTCTCATATAATACCCCCTGCTCATTACAACATGTACCCTCCCCAGTGTCCCCCACCCAGTCACCCCATCCCCCCATCCTTCTCCCCTCCAGCAGCCCTCAGCTTGTTTCCTTAGATTAAGAGTCTCTTATGGCTTATCTCCCTCTCTGGTTTCATCTTGTTTCATTTTTTCCTCTCTTCCCCTATGATCCTCTGCCTTGTTTTTCAAATTCCACATATTAGTGAGATCATATGATAATTATCTTTCTCTGATTGACTTATTTTCCTTAGCATAGTACCCTCTAGTTCCATCCACGTCATTGCCAGTGGCAAGGTTTCTTTTTTTTGATGGCTGTGTAATATTCCATTATATATATATATTTATATATGTATACACACACACACACACACATATATATATATATATATATATATCCCCCATCTTCTTTATCCTTTCATCTGTCGATGGATATTTGGGCTCTTTCCGTAGTTTTTGCCCAGTGATTCTACATTTGGTGAAGCTCTAGGCCCGGTACTGAGTGGGGTGCAGGGGACAAGGTGGTGAACAGGATGGAGCCTTAGCCTTGGTGGGTTCGCAGGGAAGGATACTGAACAAGTCTCAAACTTACCCTTTATTTACTGTGGCAGGGGTCTGCAGAGGTGCACTACAGGGCGGTCCTAAATGAGTTGGGACTTTGACTTGGACCCTGGAGTTCAGGAAGGCTCTGACTGAGCAGCAGACTCAGAGCAAAGCTTCGAGGGTCGTAGGTGTTGAACTCGGGAGCCAGAGAGGACCGGGCTCCTGATCTCAGCCTGTGAAGCCTGGGCAAGCTGTGGTGCTGCATACCCTCATTTCCTCCTCTGCACTGGGGGCGGAGTCACTGCCCAGGTGCCTGGTGTTACTGTGCAGCATGGGTGGGCCAGCACCTGTCACAGTGCGCAGCACACCGGTGCTAGGAAAGGGGAGTGTTGCAAGTGATTGGGCTCAGGAGCCTCCGGCTTGTGGGACAGCCACCTGGGCCGGGGTATCGGGACCCCACTCCCAACCCCAGTAGTCATGGCTCCCTTGCTTGCCCCCACCTAGCGGCGGCCTGGTACTCTTCAAGGTGAAGGGGAAGGTCCGGCGGTACCTGCGGGAGCAGCGGACGGTGCCCATTTTGTTTGCATCTACGGTACAGCGCCACCCCGACAAGACAGCCTTGATCTTTGAGGGCACGGACACCCACTGGACCTTCCGTCAGCTGGATGATTACTCCAGCAGCGTGGCCAACTTCCTGCAGGCTCGGGGCCTGGCCTCGGGCGACGTGGCCGCTCTCTTCATGGAGAACCGCAACGAGTTTGTGGGTCTGTGGCTAGGCATGGCCAAGCTGGGCGTGGAGGCGGCTCTGATCAACACCAACCTCCGGCGGGACGCCCTGTGCCACTGCCTGGCCTCTTCCCAGGCCCGCGTTCTCGTCTTCGGCAGTGAGATGGCCCCGGGTGAGCCCCGGGCTGTGGGGTCAGGGGAGGAGGCTCACAGGGTCTTGCACACACCACAGCCCACCCGCCCCCCCAGGCCTGGGGGAGGCCGTATGGCTCAGAGGGGAAGGCCATGAGCCCTGGTGTCAGACAGCCTGGGCCCTGCCACTTGTAAGCTGGAGATCCTGAGTAAGAGACTGGAAATGTCTGTGACTCAGTTTCCTCACTGTAGTACCTGCCCCATATCATTTTCAAGAGCCTTCGCCTGAAGCACTAACAAAGTGGCTGCTAGGTGAGCCCACAGAGATAATGGTAACCATTCCTGGTGACTAATTAGGCCTCATTTGCCTCATCTATAAAATGAGAGCAAGAATGTATTCTCTGGTCTTTGGCAAAGCTTATATTTTCTTTCTTTCTTTTTTTTTTAAAGATTTTATTTATTTATTTGACAGACAGAGATCACAGGTAGGCAGAGAGGCAGGCAGAGAGAGAGAGGAAGCGGGCTCCCTGCCGAGCAGAGAGCCCGATGTGGGACTCGATCCCAGGACTCTGGGATCACGACCTGAACCGAGGGCAGAGGCTTTAACCCACTGAGCCACCCAGGCGCCCCAAAGCTTACATTTTCTTTGCTGCCATGTTGAGCACTGACTGAGTACTGAGTTCGGTGCTTTACAAAAGCCGCTCTCCTCTCCACAAAGCCTGGTGAGGTAAGGATGGCTCTCGTGGCTTTACAGATGAGGAGACAGACATTCAGAGTGGCGAGAGGAGCTCACATAGGGTCACACCGAAGCAGGATTTCATCCTGGGCTTGACTGCCATGGTGGGGGATGACGGCGGGCAAGATTACTGATGTGCCGAGAGGGGGAGAGGAAGGATGCCACAGGGAGAGGGCGGAGGGTTGGACAAATCTAGAGGGAGGCAGAAGTGGAGCCGAGGGGGCCAGGACTGGTCTGTGTCCAGTGCAGGTGAGTATCTAGACTGCTGCGTGCACCAGGGAGCCTGAGGGAAGTTTCCACCCTCTGAAGAGGCTGGAGGCTGCTGACCTCTGACCCTCCACACCGCCCTTCTAATCGGTGCCCGCAGATGAGCATGGTACAGCGTGTAAGGACGCAGACGTCAGCATGCGGTAGAGCTGGCTTGGCATCCCAGCTCCAGCACATTCTAGCTGAGAGCAGGCCCCTCCATTCTTGGATCCTTGTCTTCTCACCTAGGGGCTGCTGTTGGCGCATACCTCCTGGGCTGTGTGAACAGGAGCACGCACGTAAGGAGCCCGCTGGGCAGCCAGGGAGCTCTTGCTCCTGTTGGCATCTAATAACCAGGACCCAGGTGCTTCACATGTCCTCCTCCCTGCACACAGCCAGTCTCCCCTGACAACACGCCAGCCCTGACACAAGCAGAGGTTCTGGGGATGTGAGGTTCTCAGCCTGCCCGCTGATCACCCCTGTCTCCCCTGCAGCCATCTTTGAAATCCAAAGCAACCTGGACCCGTCGCTCAGCCTCTTCTGCTCCGGCCCCTGGGAGCCAAGCACAGTGCCCGCCGGCACAGAGCACCTAGACCCCCTCCTGGAGGAAGCCCCCAAGCACCTGCCCAGTCGTCCCAACAAGGGCTTCACAGGTGGGTTCCACACCCCACGGAGGGGTTCTCAGATGGGCCCAGGACAGAGTGCTGGCCCCAAGGCCAGAGGCCTGGGTTCTTCTGCAAACTTGCTGTGTGACCTGGAGCGAGTCCTGTCACCTCCCTTTTTCCATCAGGGAAGATGAGGACAGTGACCATGGGGTCACTCTGAGGGCTAAAGAGTCTTTGTGTGTAAAGATGCCAGGCACGGTGCCAAGTACTCAGGAGCTCACAAAACCTGATCCTTTGACTTGTTGAACAAGCCTTCATGGCTGCCTGTCACACGCAGCAGGATCACGTGGAGCCCAGGAGACCGCTCGGTCTGAATTTCAGCTGGGGTCGGGCCAGAGGCTAGACCCCCTAAATATTCACCCAGCACCTGTCAGCCTGGAGTCCTCTCCGTGCATGGGCTGCCCTGCCTCCCCACCCCCTCCTCCAGGCAGTCTTCTGACCCCGCAGCCTCTCCTGCGCTCCACCCGGCCCTGTGGAGCCCCCAGTCTGCTGCACTGCCCGGAGGGTCAGAGCTGGCACTGAGTTCATCCGTCAGTCCCACTGCTTCACTGGTGTCCCGAGCCCCTGAGCTCGCCTCTCTCTGAACTGCGGTTCCCACAGCCGTGACGGTGGGGCCGGTAACAGGATCGATTTTATGGAGTAGCTTTGGGGTTTGAAAAAGGTAGAGTGGAAAGCTGGGGTGTGACAGACAGTGCTCAGGAACCATCTTTGTTGGCCTCGTGGTCATCTTATCTCTGTCATGTGTGAATTTTGTCTCCCTGGTGCTTTTGTAAGCAGCTCGAGGGCAGGGTCTCTGCCAGGGTCAGCCTAGTGTCCTCAGGCCCAGCCACACAGGACATGCAGTCATCCCAGGGCGTTCCTGGCTTCCTAGAACGTCCCGCCAGTGGGGGTGGGCGGCGGGGAGGTGGCTGAGCCTCTGCCTAACCGAACGTGACAGTCCCCCAGCTGGACCCCTGGGTGGTGTAGAGACAAGATCTGCGGTGCAGAAGCTCCATGGACACAGCTCCCGGCAGCCAGTGTCTCCCCAGCCCTGAGTGGTCTCTTCTCACAGCCCCTCATGTGTCTCTCTCTTTTTCAGATAAGCTCTTCTACATCTACACATCGGGCACCACGGGGCTGCCCAAAGCCGCCATCGTGGTGCACAGTAGGTAAGGGGCACGTGCTGGGGGGTGGAGCCCGGGAGCCCCTCCTCTTGCCTCCCCAGGGGCTTGCGAAGCGCCCTCTCTGTGCCCTCCCAGGTACTACCGCATGGCCGCCCTGGTATACTACGGATTCCGGATGCGGCCCGACGACATTGTCTACGATTGCCTGCCCCTCTACCACTCCGCAGGTAACCCGGGCCACCCTCCCAGCCTCCCGCGCTCCGGGGCCTCGGGAATCCCACCCCTCTTGGCAGGCAGCATCTTGTGGGTAGAAGCACGTGAGCTTTGGAGTCAAATCTGGGTTCAGATTCAGATGTGGCCGTTGACTGGGCCTCTGAACGAAAGACGGCCACACCAGTTCCACAGGGTGTGTGGCCGCGTCCTGCAGGATGCTAGGGCTGGTGCGGCCCGGCAGTTCGTTTCCTCAGGTGTACACAGCCTTGCGGCTTGGGCAAGGCAGCACAGAGATGGAATAGTTTATTCCTGCCCTCAAGGTGCTTAAAGTCCCGTGTGGATTTAGGGCAGGATGAAAAATGGGAACTCACCTGACTTTAATACAAGAAATGGCATGGTGAGGGGCGCCTGGGTGGCTCAGTGGGTTAAAGCCTCTGCCTTCAGCTCAGGCCATGATCCCAGGGTCCTGGGATCGAGCCCCGCATCAGGCTCTCTGCTCAGCGGGGAGCCTGCTTCCCCCCTTCTTTCTCTGCCTGCCTCTGCCTAATTGTGATCTCTCTCTGTCAAATAAATAAATAAAATCTTTAAAAAAAAAAAAAAAAAGAAATGGCATGGTGAGTGTGGAGACAGGCAGGGAGCAGGAGCTCAGCTCGAGAAGAGCCCAGTGATGGTCAGGAAGACTTCCTGGAGGAGGTGCTCCCTAGTCAGGCAGATGTGAGCTGCAGAAGCGAGGAGAGCTAACTTGGTCCCCCTCTGGCTGAATGGCAGCCTTCTAGGTACAAGAGCAGGAGCTTGGGGCCAACTCCGGGGCCCCTGGGACCATCTAAGGAGCATGCCCTCGATCCCATACTGGGGAAGCACTGGGGAACCATGGGAGGTGTCTGACGAGGGGAGAGGTGTGATCAGTTAGTGCCGGAGGAACAGGACAGGGGAGAGGGCCTGGGAAAGGGCTTTTGAGGAGATGGGCTGGGCCAGAGGAGACTCTGGAAGGAGGGGTCTCCTGGCTCCCTGACCTCCATGCGCCCCTCCCCGCCCCCGCCTTTAGGAAACATCGTGGGCATGGGGCAGTGCCTACTGCACGGCATGACAGTGGTCATCCGGAAGAAGTTCTCAGCCTCCCGGTTCTGGGACGATTGTATCAAGTACAACTGCACGGTGAGTGAGGAGGCCAGAGGACGGGTATCCCTATGTCCGCGTGACCTGTTGGCCTTGTTTGGGGACCTCTGCCTTGCAGCTGAGGCCAGTCGTTCACCGAGGGCACCATTTCTGGTGTTCCAGTGGGGAGACTGAGGCCCAGGGCCCATGGGGTTAGGAGGTGAAGGGAGAGCAGTTGCGGGCCAGCCTTACACCTGCTCCACCCCCAGATCGTGCAGTACATCGGTGAGCTGTGCCGCTACCTCCTGAACCAGCCACCCCGGGAGGCAGAGCACCAGCACCAGGTGCGCATGGCGCTTGGCAACGGCCTCCGCCAGTCCATCTGGACCGACTTTTCTAGCCGTTTCCACATCCCCCAGGTGGCCGAGTTCTACGGGGCCACAGAATGTAACTGCAGTTTGGGCAACTTCGACAGCCAGGTGGGCAGTGGGACAGTGGAGGGTGGGCGGGGTGCAGCGTGGAATGTGGGCGCTGGAGCGTCCCGCTGTCTGGTTGGGGCAGCAGGGATGCAGCGTGGAATGTGGGTGCTCTGGCCCCCTGCTGTCTGGTCAGTGTGGAGTGTGGGCACTGGAGCATCCTGTTGTCTGATCGGGGCAGGACGGGTACAGCATGGAATGTGGGCGCCGAGCCCCCACCATCTGGTTGAGGCACTGTCTGGTGTGGGCACCAGGCCTCCTAATGCTGTCCAGTCTCAGACCCAAGTCTTGGCCTTTACAGGTGGGCGCCTGTGGCTTCAACAGCCGCATCCTGTCCTTTGTGTACCCTATCCGGCTGGTACGAGTCAATGAGGACACCATGGAACTGATCCGGGGGCCCGACGGCGTCTGCCTTCCCTGCCAGCCAGGTCTGCCCCAGGGTTGGAAGGAGGGTCAGAGCAGGAAAGGTTAAGCCGGGAGGGAGATGGCACTGGGCTGGGTGAGTGGGAAGCCCTTTTCTGACCAGTGGCCATCACTCTGCTCTACTCTTAGGACGACGCATCGTTTATTTTTTCTCCACCTGTCCTTCCGTTCCTCATCCCTTTTTTCCATCAGTCCGTTGATTCACTGTTGTGTGGAGGACCCCCGAGTGGACGCTGGCTTAGCCTCTAAGCTCTGTGCCCGAGTCCCCACATGTGCCATTGAGGCTGATGGCAGCGCCACCTCCAGGAGTTGCCCTGGGGGTCATGTGTGCTAAGGAACATACAGCTCTTTGAGCAGAGCCAGGGGCCCAAGGAGCGCTGGCTCTGGTCAGGCTGTCCACATAGAGCTCGGCCACCCTTTTGTTTCATTCATCTTGCCATCTGCTCCGTGACCAGACGTTACTGAGGGCCCCCGTGCACTGGACCCGCCAGGAGCAGCTCCCTGCCCTCGGGGCTCCCACTCCAGAGCTAGATAGGGTTTCTGTGGGAAGCGGTGTGACCGGAAGTCAGATCAAAATGCAGGGCACATTTGGAGGCGGGGAACGGGGAGTGGAAGCCACCAGGGTAGAGCTGCGCTGCCCTCTCTGCCCCCAGGGGAGCCGGGCCAGCTGGTGGGCCGTATCATCCAGCAGGACCCCCTGCGCCGCTTCGACGGCTATCTGAACCAGGGTGCCAGCAACAAGAAGATCGCCAAGGACGTGTTCCAAAAGGGGGACCAGGCCTACCTCACCGGTGGGTGGGCACCAGCCCCTTTGTGCGGGGTGGAGGCAGGCTGGAGAGAAATGAAGGGCCCTCACCCACCTTCCGAGGATACTGCCCCAGTCCCAACCCGCCCCGTCAAGCAGATCCCGGGATCCTGTGTGGCTGGCCCCCACCCTGCCTCATACTCCGCCCCTGCAGGCGACGTGCTGGTGATGGACGAGCTGGGCTACCTGTACTTCCGAGACCGCACGGGAGACACATTCCGCTGGAAAGGGGAGAACGTGTCCACCACCGAGGTGGAGGGCACGCTCAGCCGCCTGCTGGCCATGGCTGACGTGGCCGTGTACGGTGTGGAAGTGCCAGGTACCCACAGGCTGGTGGGAATTGCCAGGCATGTGTGGGGAGGCACCTCCGGGGGGCACGACTGGCCCCTCACAGTGCCCGCTGCCTCCCCCAGGAACTGAGGGCCGGGCCGGAATGGCTGCCGTGGCCAGCCCCGCCAGTGACTGTGACCTGGTGCACTTCGCGCAGCTGCTGGAGAAGGAGCTGCCCCTGTATGCCCGCCCCATCTTCCTGCGCTTCCTGCCGGAGCTGCACAAAACAGGTAGGTCCCCTCCCCTGCCCCAGCTCCAGGAGGGTTCCAGGCCTGTGCCCCTAACTGGCTCCTTTTTGGGACCTGGGGGACTGTCATTTGTCCTTCAGCCACAGCGTTGCTGTGGCATTGTACACAGACCTCCCCGTGTACAAGTGAGCAGACTGAGCCCTCAGACGGAGAAGGCTCACATACCCACGAGTGGAACGAACATTCACTGAGTACCTACTGGGGGCCTGCCAGGCTCTGTGCTAGGCATTGGCGGTTGAGGTGACTAATTCTGATGGGACCTTTGCTCTCTAGGGGGAGGCAGCACAGGACAAGGAATTCCAAGGGCAAAGAAGAGAATACATACAGATCGAACTGACAGAAAAGCAAATGAAGTGGGATGTGGTGCCTGGGAGGCTCCCCAGAGGCGGTGACCTTTGAGCTGAGACCTGAATGGAATGGGAGGCATTCTGGGCTGGTCCCTAAGACCAGAGGGCACTTGGGCAGGAGAGGAAGGAAGGGAGGCCCCTGAAGCCAGAGCCAAGGAAAGCTGTGGACAGCGGCATCAGGTGGGGCAGAGAGGCCAGCGGGGACCAGAAGACTCTGGGCTGGGGAGGGCCTGGGCTATGGCGGGGCAGCTGGGAGCCACAAGTGTTTGAGAAGAGCAGTGACCTGTGTGAGGTGCGTGTTCCACACAGCCCTCTGGCTGCTGTGCGGGGTGAGGGAGAGGGCTATGGGCCCCGGGGGAGCAGGGAGACTAGCAAGGGGCTGTTACTCTTGTCAGCAGAGAGGTGAGTGGTGGGTCCACAGTTACATAGCTGGGTGGTGCCAGCTTTCTGTCTGTTGGACCACTGACGGCTCCCCTGATGGGCAGAAGTCAGTCCTTGCTGCCCTGTCCTGATCACCGCCCCCCGCCCCGAGCCTCTCATCAGCTGCTCATCCTTGGGCCACCTCCCTTGTGCTCATCATGTCAACCCCTGCCTTATTGAAATGTCTTCCCTGACCCATGTCACCCCTGCGAGGTGGAAGGCTCATAGGAGCACCTAAAGCAGTGCAGAGTGTCTAATGGGGACACTGCTGCTGGGCTCGTGCTCAAGGCTGGGAGCTCCTGAGGTTTGGGTGACATCTGACTGTGCAGGAGAGAGGCAGGGAAGAGACCTCGGGTGTCAGAGGCTTTGCTGCAGAACAAGCATCCCTAAACTCCCTGCAGTGCTTAAAACAGCCGTTTTTTTGTTCTCGATTGTGGGTCCGCAGTTTGGGGTTAAGTTCTGCAGAGCGGTTCTTCCGTCAGCCCCACCTGGTGTGGAAGAGCTGTCATCGCTCGTGATTTAGCTGGGGGCTGGAAGGGGTAAGGATGTCCTTACTTGCCTATCTGGCTCCCAGCAGGCTGCTCTGGCAATGCCCGCCTGCAGAGCCGTCTGCGATGAGGATGATGTCCGGTGTGTGCACTGAGCAACACTGCGGCCACTAGCCCCATGCAGCCACTGAGCACTCCCCCTGGGGCCTGTGAACCGGAGGAGCAGAATTTTACATTTGCCTTCATTTTAATTAAATGTATAGAGCCCCATATGGCCAGTGGCTATCCTGTTGGATAGGGCTAGTCCCGGGGGGGCATCCCTGGGCTGTCTCACCTCTGCTCTGTGCAGCTTCTCTCCCTTCAGAGACTACACTGGCGACAGGCACCCCACCTGGAATGGAAGCTGCAGGGCCCCTCAAGGCCTGGGCTCTCCAAACACTCATGTTCTGTGGGTCAAAGCAAGTCACAAGGTCACTTCAGATTCAGGTGGCGGGTGAGAGAGACCCCAGCTCTGGCTGGGAGAAGTGGCCAGGCCACCAGGCGGCAGAGTGTGTGTCCAGGGAAGGAAGGAAGGAAGGAAGGAATCTGGCCATTTCTGGCCATCTGTCGCACCCGGCTTCAGATCCCAGCTTCAGCACTTACTAGCTGTGTGGTATTGGCCCCGGGGTATGCCTCGCCGCGCCAGTCTTCTCCTTGGTCCAGTGGGCTGATGCCAGTGACTGAGACGTGTGCAATTTCCGTGAGCTACCACTGAGAAAACAGGGCTGCTGTTGAAACTGTTGCTCCAAACTCTAGAGGTGTTAAAAGCTGAAAACACGTGCAGTGTAGCAGACTCCATAAAAGATGGTGCATACCGGCCCCTGGGATTTATGTGCAGCTGATGTGAGCTCACACCTGTACCTGGGAGGTGCCCAAAGCACAGAGGGCCCGAGCTCTGGCCCTCCCTCTGCTGTCACTCAGGGCATGTGGCCTTAGAGGGATAGTTTCCCCAGCTGCAAGCAGAAGGCAGGTAGCGTGGCCCCCACCGTGGCTCCAGGGCCGCTCTGAGCAGCAGTACGTGATCTAATTAGCGGGAACCACCTTTCAAAGTGTCCAGGGCTGTGCACTGCTGTCCTCCATGCCCCATTCCTGAGTTTTCCTCACCCTCTTCCTCTGCCCCTCTTCAGCTTTGGTATGCGGCTTCCCAGGCCTCAGGCCCCTGCCCTGCACCCTCTGACCCATCTTCCCTGCTCCCTCAGGGACCTTCAAGTTACAGAAGACAGAGCTTCGGAAGGAAGGCTTTGACCCGGCAGTTGTGAAAGACCCGCTGTTCTACCTGGATGCCCGGAAGGGCCGCTACGTCCCACTGGACCAAGAGGCCTACACCCGCATCCAGGCAGGCGAGGAGAAGCTGTGATTTGCCCCGAGCCCCTCTCAGGGCCAGCGGGTGCTGGATCCAGAGCCCCAGCTCGCACCCCAGAGGGGTCCGGGGCAATGCCAGACCAAAGCAAGCAGGGCCCGGAACCTCCACCCCGAGGTGCGGGCCCCCCCCTCAAAACTGCCAAGTGACTCACCGCCGCCTCCCCCTGCCCCCCAGGAGGCTTTCTGTGAAAGCCTCAAGTCCATGTTCTGTCTTCAAGGCCAGGTGGGGCCTCGGCCCCAGGCTGAGACAGACCGGGCCCCTTACGATGATGTCTTGGGCAGGGCAGGGGCAGGTGGAAGGTTGGCAAGCACTCTCCAGAGTGCAGGGAGCTTGTAAATGGGACCAGGGCAGAAACCCCCAGACTCAGGAAGCCAGCAGAGTGGGCGGGGGCTGCAGGAGGAGGATCCTGGCCCCGGAGCTGTTCCAGTGTCACTCAGCACTGCCTGCGCCTCCAGGAGGATCGGAGGAGGACCCCGACCTGCAGCGGGCGGCCTGGATTGAGTGCCCCCCCCACCACCATCCTCCTCTCCTGGATGGCAGCCTGGCTGCCCCTCAGGCGGGACCTTTCTCCTTGTAGGTCTGTCCCCATCACTTTCTCCGTCACAATCCTGGGCTGGCTATGAGAGGAGGAGGGGTTGGGGGGGGTCTTTCAGGGGCCAATAAACTGCCTTGACTCCCCCCTAGCCTGTGTGCACCGCCTGAGCTCACTGCTCCTGCTCAGGCCCCACCTCCCGCCCATCCACCCCATTCACTCACTCAGACTTAGGGACTCAGCAGGTAAGACGCCCTCTACGAGTTGGCAGTGTATTTAATAGCATGAGCTTGAAAGTCCAGACCAGCTGTGTCATTTTGGAGTTTTCGGTCTAGGGCAAGTGACTGGTCTCTGCATCTGTGAAAGGGAAATGATCAGGAGGATTCAGAGAGCACAGGTACCCATTTCGAGGAAAGGGCTATGTAGAGCCTTTGAGGGAGAAAACCTTAACCCAGAGTCTGATCCCATCTCCAGACCCTTGCTCATGCATTTCCCCAGGGGTCTGGGGGCTGTGCCAGCCAGAGCTGAGCTGCCTAACCAGCTGTGGCGGAGTCCAGGAAAGCTTCCAGGGCTGCAGCACCAGCTGTACCAGCGGAGAGGCAGCTGTCTCCGAGGTCCCATCGCTGGAGTCACACCCAGGCTGGAAACGCAGGGCGCACTGGGAACTGGGAACGGGTCCGACCCAGCCCCGAGCAGTAGGCGATGTGTGCCCCTGGGCCTTGCCTTCAGTCTTCAAGCTTCCCCGCAGTCTGTCAGTCATTTGCTGAGGTCACACAGCAGTAGGGGGTGGGGGTAGGCTGCTGGAATGCAAACCCAAGCCCCTGTGGCTTCCTGCTCCCCCACCCGCCTCCTGGTGTAAAAGGCCAGGGGAAAGCCCAAAGAGCTTCCATTCCACCCATGCCTGCGGAGCCAACTGTGGGCCCCGCCCGAGGCCTGCAGCTGAGGGCCAGGGTGAGATCTGGGATGCCTCCTGGGGGAGTGACTCTGAAAGATAGAGGAATCTGATGCTGCCCTTGGGGGAAAATGGGGGGCAGAGCTGGAGTCCTTGGAGAGTCGTGCTGAGGGGGTTGTGGAGGGGGTTGGCATTCAAGGCTGCAGTGTCCCAGTGTGACCAGCAGAGGGCAGGCAGAGCCTGGAGAATGCCATCTTGGTCCTTAACCACTCAGCCTCCAGACGTCAGAAGGAAGGGGCTGTGAATCCCACCTCAGGCCCAGCCAGGTACCCAGTCCACAGCGCCACAGTGTCAAGGCTTTCATGGACTAGAATCAGACTTCCAAGGGGCTGGACCTGGCTGACAGTGTGGCTTTGTTTCTTTTACCCTTAGCCCTGAGTGCTTCCCAATGGGATAGTGCCCCCCACTCAGGGGGCCCCATTCCTTCCTTGAGGTTGAGCACAGTCACCAAAAGGCAGTATAGAGTGGCGGTTAAAAGCTCCAGCTTGAACAGGCATATGTTCAAGCTGCCAGGCTAAGCCTCACTTCTTCCCCTGTGAATGGAGCTCTAGGATAACTGTGAGCTTGCGTTGTGCCTGGAGGTCTCTTAACATGCGGTCTGGGTGCTGATGTCTGCTCAGTACATAGCAGTTACAAGATTTTAAAAAGATCTATATTCAGGTGTTAAGACCCCAGACTAGGCCTGAGTTGACCACTTCCACACCGATCCCCCGAACCCCCTTGAAGGGCCTTGGGAGCTCTCCCATCTGCCTCTGATCATCCTCACCACAGCTGTGAGTCATCACGCACACACAGCAGATCGCAGTCTGTGCTTGTGAAGTTAACAGCAGCTACTGCTTATTGGGCGTTTCCTGACGTTTATATGGTGTTTCATGGTTTACAAAGTGCCGTGTAAGTTCATCTATGGAGCAAACTGTAAAGGCGGGGTAGGGGGAGCGGGGGCGGGGGGCGGGCAAAGGCCGTGCTCGGTTTGAGCAAGACAGACCAGGGAGCCGACTGGGGACAGGAGAGAGAGGGAGCTGGCGAGTGAAGAGGCAGAGTGTGTGTGGTGTTCGCTGTACCTCTGTTAACCCAGCGCCCCGGTGAGGCGGGCAACCCTGTTTCCTGGTCAGGGAGGTTTTCAAGGAAGAGGTATCCAAAACTGGGTGGAGAAGAGTGTCCCAGACAAAAAGCCTGGGAGTGCGCGGCCAGCAGGGAGGCTGCCGGGGAGTGTGGGTCAGGGGTGGGGCAGAGCTGGAGCAAGATATGAAAAATGAGCCCTTTGTGGGCACCTGTCCTTGCGTGCGCTTCCGGAGACCAGGCCAGGCTAGGAGGTCCCTGCATTGGGTCAAACCCACTTCCTTAGACTTGCTAACGGCCACCGCGAATGGAGACCCTCCTCTGTGCCAGGTGCTGTGCAACGTGCTCTGTCCCTTGGTTCTTTAAATCCATACCACAAAGCAGCTGCTATTTTCATCCCCATTCCACAGATGAGGAATCTGAGGCTCAGGGAGGCAAAATCTCTCCCTAGACCACAGAGCCCATGAATGGCAGCGCTGGGCTGCAAACCTCCTTCCCCGAGCCTCAATATTGCCATCTGCCACAGCGCCAGGGGGAGGCTGGAAAGCGCCCGCCTCGAACATCCCCGGAGGTCCTACCGCCCTCAGGACGGGCAAGTGGCCGACCAGGCCAGTGCTTGGCGTATCAGTTTCAATCCCTGGGAAGAAGGTTAAATACCTCCGAGGGGCCCATTGAGGCGGTGGCAGTAAGGGAGGGGGTGACCAAGTGACTTTCAAAGGGGCCTGAATGCCTGGCTGGCCCCTCCCCCTGAGGAGGGGGCCCTGCTTCCTCCCAGCCTAATGATATTCCGGACTCAGCCCTCGTCTTTGGCGGCAGTTTAACCCCAGCCTGGGCGGATTTCTTTCTCACTGATCTCAGCTTGACACCCAATTAGCACAAGAATGGGAGGAGGAAGCCTGCGAGAGGCGCCTCCCAGCCTCCCGGGGCGCACGAGGGGAGCAGGCGGGAAGACAAAGGGCAGCGGGCAGGGGGGCACCCGCGCCCTCGGCTCCCCCCTGCAGACCCTGCCATTGTCTCCCCGGTTGCTTCAGAGGGGCTGGAGGCCAACGCCCGGGCTGGCCGGCCTGCTGGAGGGGACTGGGGATGGGGCCCAAGCCCTTCTGCCTAGATCCCAGGGGAAAGCATTTGGGTGATCAGGACCCAACGGGAGGCCGCTGGGGTCAGTGATGCTGAAGGCGCTACAACCTGGGATTGCGGCCCGACACTTAGGGCCTGTGGGCAAACCACTGGTTCTGAGCCTTGATTTTCTCGTTTGGAAAATGGGGATAAGAGTAGTCCCCATGAGCGGTCAGTCAGGCAGCGCATGTACCGCACCCGGCAGGTGTAAGGCGGGCATTCAATAAACACTCCTTGAATGAATATGTTAAACTAATATTGTTACTAATTAAGAGGTTGAGTGGGTAGGGGCGCCTGAGTCCTGGGATCAAGCCCTGCATCGGGCTCGCTGCTCAGCGGAGAGCCTGCTTCCCCCCTCCCCTTCTCTGCCTGCCCCTCTGCCTACCTGTGCTCTCTCTGTTAAATAAAAAAATTTTAAAAATTAAAAAAAAAAAGGTTGAGTGGGGTAGGCTTCAGGTCAGGAGAAGGATTTTCTGAGACCCAGGCATTCACAACATGGGCTGATGATGGTGATGATGATGATGATTTTAACTTTTATTTGAGAGAGGGAGAGGGAGAAGCAGACTCCCTGATGAGCAGAGACCATAGGGCTTGATCCAGGGACTTCAGGATCACGACCTGAGTGAAAGGCAGATGATCACCCAGACTGAGCTACCCAGGCACCCCTAGAACGGGCTGATTTACCCAGAAGGGAACTCCCATCTCTGGGACTAAGCAAGAAGCTAGAGGAATCCCTGTCTGTTGAGATGTGGGAAGATGCCCTCTTCCTAGGTGACCTCTCCCACCTACCATTCCTTTGGATTTGGGCTTAGGTGTGACTTCCAGGGAAGCCTTCCCCTGATACCAGTGCTGGATTAGGGCCCTCCTCCAGCTCCCCCAGGGCCCTATCCTCCCCCTTTAGAACACTGATCACACCGCATGGTCCATTTTTACATTTCTGTGTCTTCTCCTAGAACAGCCCCAGAAGGGCAGGGACCTGTTGGTTTTTTTCACTGTTGTGTTCCCAGCACCAGCACTGGGCCAGGCACTTAATAGGCGCTTAGTGAATGTTTGTCAGATGGCTGGCGCCCTTCAAATGCTCCCTAGCTCTCGAGTTCCAGCCCCAGGAGGGGACAGTTCCCAGGGTGAGAGGATACTCAATGCATAGAGGGTGAGCTGAGATCAGAGGCTCAAGGGCTCTGAACACCTTCTAGGAAGGCCCTTATCTTGTTGGCAAAAAGAAGCCAGTGAATGGCTTGGAGTGGGGAGTGGTATGTGTTCACTCACTCATCCCGCACTTACCAAACCCGTACAATTACAAAGCTCCTTACCTCAAGCCGAGGATCAAAGAGGAATCAAGCAAGATTTCTGCCCTGCAGGAGCTGGGTCTAATGGAAGAATCTTAGAATATTTTTGCTGAAAGTACCTTAGATCATTTGGGCCCCAACCTTCTTTAAAGATTGGGGAAACTCAGTTCCAGAGAGGGAAAGTGACCAACCCCCACAGCATGGTACACGTGGGGCCTTTCCATTTACTGCAGGATTCCTTTGTGCCCTTTGAGGACCAGGGCTCTGTCTCATTTGTCCTCACTTTGCCAGTGCCCTGGAACCGTGCCTAATACATTGAAATGGCTCACGGTTCTCCATGGAGTCAAACTGTACAGTGAAGTCAAGGCCAGAATGAGGGAGGTGGGAGGCAGGCAGAGACACAGGTACAGGTGCTGGGTGCTGGTGGTGGTGGAAGACTGGGGGAGGGTTGCAAAATCAGCTTAGACAGGAGATGAATCCAAATCGGTGATTTGAATATGGCAGAGAATTAAGAACAATGTCCAAAGTTTCTTGAGTGTTTCAGTGGGTGGCAGTCGTATCCTTGAAATGGGGAACACAGGGGAGGACCTATTTTAGGGAAGGAGGCATATGCCTAGAACTCAGTCCTTGCTATAACCCTCTGAGTTAGGGGTTGCTGTTATCCCTATTTTACAGATGAGGAAACTGAGGCACAAACATGTAAGTTAAGGGACTTAAAGAAAATAGCTAGAA